TAACCATTAACAACCTGATTTTCTGCATAACCCCTCTGTCACAATTTTACAATTAACATATGTTCTTCTTCTTACTTTTCATTTCTGACAACAGCTGGAGTTTCATAACTATGTTTGTTTCCCATGTTAATCTTATGGAGAAATACAAAACTTTAAAGGTCCCGAGGGCCTCACTCTCTAATTATTTCCCCCAAAAAAAAAGTTTCCTGCACAACTTCACATTACGCTCTTACCAAAAACATGTCAATCGGTTCAGTAGTTTCGGAGGAGTAATTGTCACAAAAAAACTGCTTGCGTATTAAACTAGGTGGCATTCGAAAAGGCATCCACAAAATTGAGCGGAGTCATCAAGGGTTCATATTATATTGTTTTTGTCATGCTGTAGTCAAAACAGCAATTTTTAATTCATGCGTTGCGGGTCTAAGGCTCTTTAGGGAGTAAAATCGTGTTTAGCCTCTATGGAGTAAAAATCAGCTGTTGTCAACTCAGTTGTAAATTTCTATTGTAAACGATTGCATGTATCGAAATATGTATCGATTCGTGCTTCGTAATCATTTTAACCTACAGTCTACAGTCTCTTGACATAGCATTTTAGCATTGCAGATACATTAATCTATTCCCACACTCAACACAGCTTGCCTTTACTACTTCCTTCACCACCCCCTACGTCGTCGGCGTGTTTCCCTCTCTTCCCATAGCATTTTACGATTGCAGATACATTAATGTAATTGCCAAAGACAGTTCCCACAATCTGCACTGCCAGCCTTTACTACTTCTTTCACCACTTCCTACGTCGTGGGGCCTATTTCCTTCCCTTCTCATAGCATTTTAGGATTAAAGATACATTAATCTAACTGCCACAGACGGTTCTTACACTATGCTCATACTTTACTAATTCCTAAGCCACTTCCTACATCGTGGATCAGTTTTCATCACTTTCCATAGCATTTTAGTATTTTAGATACGTTAATCTAATTGCCACAAACATTCCCCGCACTCCGCACTGCTAGCCTTTACTACTTCTTTCACCATTTTCTATGTCGTGGGGATGCTTCCATCCCTTCTCAAAGCATTTCAGCATTGCAGATACATTAATCTAACTGCTACAAACGGTTTCCAGTTCCCACACTCCACACTGCTCACCTTACTACCTCCTTCACATCTTCTTACGTCGCGGACCTGTTTCCCTCTCTTCCCCTAGAATTTTAAGATTGTAGGTACCTTAATCTAACCGTCATAAACATAATCCCAAACTCCGAACAACTAGCCTTTACTCTTTCCTTCACCACTTCCTACGTCACGGACCTGTTTCCCTCCCTTTCCATAGCATTTTAGGATTGCAGATACCTTAATCTAATCGTCATAAACAGTTTCCACACTCCAGACAGTTCGCCTTGACTACTTCCTTCACCACTTCCTACGTCGCGAACCTGTTTTCCTCCCTTCCTATAACATTTTAGGATTGCAGATACCTTAATCTAATCGTCACAAACAGTTCTCACAATCCGGACAGCTTTCCTTTACTACTTCCTTCACCACTTCCTACGTCGCGGACCTGTTTCCTTCCCTTCCAATAGCATTTTAGGAATGCAGATACCTTAATCTAATCGTCATAAACAGTTCTCACACTCCGGACAGCTCGCCTTGACTACTTCCTTCACCACTCCCTACGTCGCGGACCCGTTTTCCTCCCTTCCCATAGAGTTTTAGGAATGCAGGTACCTAAATCTAATCGTCATAAACAGTTCTCACACTCCGGACAGCTCGCCTTGACTACTTCCTTCACCACTCCCTACGTCGCGGACCCGTTTTCCTCCCTTCCCATAGAGTTTTAGGAATGCAGGTACCTAAATCTAATCGTCATAAACAGTTTCCACACTCCGGACTGCTCGCATTGACTACTTCCTTCACCACTCCCTACGTCGCGGACCCGTTTTCCTCCCTTCCCATAGAGTTTTAGGAATGCAGGTACCTAAATCTAATCGTCATAAACAGTTTCCACACTCCGGACTGCTCGCATTGACTACTTCCTTCACCACTCCCTACGTCGCGGACCCGTTTTCCTCCCTTCCCATAGAGTTTTAGGAATGCAGGTACCTAAATCTAATCGTCATAAACAGTTTCCACACTCCGGACTGCTCGCATTGACTACTTCCTTCACCACTCCCTACGTCGCGGACCCGTTTTCCTCCCTTCCCATAGAGTTTTAGGAATGCAGGTACCTAAATCTAATCGTCATAAACAGTTTCCACACTCCGGACAGCTCGCCTTGACTACTTCCTTCACCACTCCCTACGTCGCGGACCCGTTTTCCTCCCTTCCCATAGAGTTTTAGGAATGCAGGTACCTAAATCTAATCGTCATAAACAGTTTCCACACTCCGGACTGCTTGCATTGACTACTTCCTTCACCACTTAATTCCTACGTCATGAACCTGTTTCCCTCCCTTCCTATAGCATTTTAGGATTGCAAATACCTTAATCTAATGGCCATAAACAGATCACATACCCCGAACAGCTCGCCTTTACTACTTCCTTCACAACTTCCTAGGTCGCAGACCTGTTTTCCTTCCCTTCCAATAGCATTTTAGGTTTGCAGATACCTTAATCTAATCGTCATAAACAGTTCCCACACTCCAGACAGCTCCCCTTGACTACTTCCTTCGTCACTTCCTACGTCGCAGACCCGTTTTCCTCCCTTCCCATAGAATTGTAGGAATGCAAATACCTAAATCTATAATCGTCATAAAGAGTTTCCACACTCCAGACTGCTCACCTTTACTACTTCCTTCACCACTTCCTACGTCACGGACCTCAAGCTAGCGTCGTTATTTGATTATATTTATGATCCATACCGTTTCTGTTCTAATATCTGTGGAATAATGCTATCAGCTATTTCTTTATCTACTGCATTCAAAAGTCAACAGCTGATCATAGGTCTTTGTTTATGTGTCAAATACTGCTTCCATAAGGATTACATTGAAACTTTGAGACCCAGTGGGGCGGATTCCTGAGAGACTTTTGTAACGCCATATAGATGTTGGCACTCACCGATATGGTCTTTATCACCATGCCAAATTTGAAAACGATTGATTCATCCGTCTAGGAGGAGTTTGCGTATTACGAAATGTATAAGAGTCGACGTATAAGAGCTTCGCTCAATAAGTATAGATAACACTAAAACAAGCAATAAATTTTTAAGAGCGTAAAAATAAATTATGGACAATCCATGCTACGTTGGTTTGGAAATATGTTGTTGGTAAAGGGGATGTGTCTGATATAGTAGACATTTTGTGTGTGACATTGTTAAAATTCCTCCTATCATCAATGACAAATAGCTTTAGGGTAATTCTGTGACACAATGGGCTGAAGATAACCTAGAGCTGTGAGAAAACAAAATAAAACATTATAGGTTTATATCACAGGTATCTAGGTCACCTGCGGCAAGAAAGGTGGTGATGTATTTTTTTAAAATTCCTCTAAGTTCTAGCCTGGAGTAGTTTCACACATTACTTCAGGTATTCGAGGATGTTGCGGAATTATAATATAGATCAAATCCATTAGTGATTGGCGGGATTCAAACCTTGGACCTTAAGGTCCAAAATCTACCACTAGACCAGCTTGATCCCCACTACTTTGTATCAAATACCTCTAAATTTAAGCTCTATTTTGGTTTAATTCAATTATTTCATACATACACTGTATTATTATTAATTGTTTCAGGAAAAACTTTACCACCGTGAAGATTGTTTCAATGGCCATTCTTGGTCAAAAATGAGGGATCTTAAAGTTGTACAAATTAGTGAAAAACATAAAAAAGTGAACAAAGAAATTTACAAATAAAAAAAAACATATTGAAATGTTATTGAACACTTAAGTTTTTACAAGTTCTGAATGTGTAATTGCATGTTTGAATGCTTATTGATGTGCTTTTTTGTATGCTAGACCTTTTTAATGATACTATCTAAGCTAGTTTGTAATGTTTTATGTGTATATGTTTGCAAATAAATATGAAATTAAAACTTATATGATTATTAGAATCATAGTTGTTCTCCTGCACTCTGAGAAAATACACAGGCTAAGGCCAGGGCCACACTTGTAATTTTTAACCAGCCAGATTGGTTTTTCCGACTTCATGTGCGACGCACGTAGAACAATTTAACCGTGGCCACACTCGTCATACGAGATAGGTTTTTGGGGCTAACCAGCGTCACTACGGTAATAGAGCACGCTACACTAGCAATAAAAATTGTCCGTGTCCGTGATCGGCACTCCCCCCCTCCACGCTCACTACACATTAAATCAGTCAGGTTAAAACTAGAACGACCGTGGAAAAAATTCAGATAAGATGAGTGTGTTTACTCCAATAAGCCGCAATGCCTCCCGACTAGCTTAACGTTCAACGCCCGTGAAATTTTAGTAGAGAATACACGTGCAATTCCGTTTGTCAGTCTCTCTGGTGAAACTGAGACAGTTAAACTTTACTCTAGTGTGGCCTGCCCCATGCCGTAATGTTTCGCTCAAACCCACGTGTAATGCCCAAGGAAATAATTAAGTGAGGTAAGATGAGTGTGGCCCCGGCCTTCATTAATTAGGTATTAGAGGGTGTTTAGAAACACAGTTTTTTTTTTCTAATTTACAACTTAAAAGACTAATCATAATACTTGTAGGGGGTTCTTTCTATTGTTGAAGTGTTATCAGGTCTCATATCTAAAAAAAACGATACAGGAACCAAAATTGAAGTTAACACGTTTTTGGGATGTAATTGGTAGATTTTACATGAAAATGTCCTGTAACCAAAATATACCTTTAACAACCATTTATAAAATAAAGAGTGTTTTACATGTTCAATGTTCATACACATATTGTATTATTAACAATCGGAGCCCAATTTTCATAAATAATCAAACTGGCTGTGGATAACCCATTCATGCTGGAACAGGCTCTAGTTATCTGTAAATATTATCTTAAGATATCAGTTCAGTTTGAGCATAACTACTATTCACATGTGAGTTTAGTTTTGTGCATCCAAGTATAGATTATTGGTTTTAACCATCTCACTATGAATAATGTATCGATACAGACATATCTATGAGACACATCTATGAGACTATAAGTTAGTTAAATTGCATATCTGTTATTGCATTATATTTTCTGTTAAAAAAATCCCCAAGTGATTTTGGTGTAGTTAATTGCAAAAGTTACATTTTGAAACATAATTACACTTTTGTTTTGTTTGTTTTCAAAAGGGTAAGTAATAATGACTAATAGTTTTAAAAAGTTCCTAAATTTAAACAATAAGTTTTACATTACAACAATTTATCATGCAAGTTTACTACGGTAGTTTAAATTTTTTTTGTTTCTTTTCTATGGTAATCAGCAAATCACTCCCTATCTTTTGCCTCTGCTGGTAGCACAGCAAAAAAAGTACCTATGAGGAAAAAATAAATTTTTTATAATAATCGTTTGAGTCTTTTTTGCCTGACTTTTCTGTTATTTTAAAGACTATAATGGGAAATTCGCCATTAAAAAGCAAAATAAAAAAAAACCCTGTCTGTAGAATGTGTAGATACCATATATCAGTATAGGCCTACGGTATAACTTTGATGGCAAGACTCTCATATCAAGATTGGCTGCTTATGGAGGTTTACAATAACATGTGATTAGGGGTTAAATAAATTCAAGGTACCAGACCCCTTATTGTGAATTCAAGGGATTTAAAAATTACACTTATTATCAAGGGTGACTTGTTATCGAGGTTGTAGCTCTGCACACATCCACACAAACATACAAAAACACTCACAGTCATCACTTCGAAAACAAACAAAAAATTGTGTTCAGGTGACCTAAAACCGTTATTTTGAACCAAAACTCAAAATATTCTCCATATACAAAGGGAGAAAGTAAGCCTTGCATGTCCTATGAATTGTGCCCAAAATATCAGGATATTGAGGTGAGGTCCGATTCCCCATTATTTACAGCTCTCCCTGATCCACATTTTGTTTGTGAGTGTGGTAGGCTTGTCAATACAAGTCATTAACACAGCAATGTTGCTGCTGTCTTCATCAGTTCACCAGTTGACTTCTTAATTGGCAGAAGTGGATGGGTTGCAGACCAACCATTGCAAGTTTACAGTTAATGTAAGTTTTTTCCAATATCATTCATATAGGAGAAATTATTCAGTGTTGCATGATTTTAATGTAAATATTTTAATCTGAAACATTTACTAGTACTTTGTGTTGTATTTATTAGTTCACAGTTTGTTTATTTTGTTTGAATAGTAACAACAACAAAAGATTTGCTTGATAACTTAATTGACTTACTTTTCTGGATAAGTTATAAAACTTTGGATCCATTGGAGAATTCAACCACCAAATATTTATCATGAACTTTTGTTTAAACGTGCAACCAGTCGTGCACACTGTACCAGCCTGTTATTTATGACAAGCTTAAAATACTTAATGCAATACAATTTACTTGTAACTTTAAGATTAACTTTATGATACCAATTCAATCAATTATTGTTAAGTTTTCACTGAGTGTTAAATTAATTTGAAATGCCGTCACACCATGAATTAAATAAATGTAATCAGGATATTTGGTTTTGTTCAGGTTTTATTACAAAAAATACTTTATAAACAGTGTAGGTGGGTTTTCAAATTTTTATGTTCTAACTTCTCAGATGATAAGATAAGGAGTTAATTTTATTACATAATAATATGAGCATATTTCATGCTTAATAACTCGATGAAAGGCTTAAATACCTGTACTACTGTCAACTTATTCTGCTCTTTTTCTGTCGGTTGAATTGAAGGTTTTTGGAAACTGAAAAAGAGGATTTTGTAATAATTTTGTGTTCTTCAAAATGGAGCTTATTGAGGTTGCAAAACCAGTACATCACATGGATGAAAAAAGTTAACTTAACAGTATTACTGGTATTTTAATATTTTTTTATTTGTTTAACCGACACCCAAGACGCTAATGATTTATAAACAAAGATTTGCTACACAATATACACATTATCACCATTATTATTATTATTTATCATTATCATTATGGGATGATAACTCAATAGAAGGGATGAAACAAACATCATCGATCCATAAAAAATTGAAATCTACTGGAGGAACCAAACCAAGCGTTTAGTTTCTCACTAAAAATAACTGTTTCCGTCACCGATATTTCTGGTCAAGATCAGTCAATGGCCATGACCACCAGTTCTGGAGTGTTAGAAGTGAATATATTTATTTATTCCTAAAGATTAGATTTTGTTCAGATTTTTTTACTTTTTTGATTTAAAAAATTGTTCTAGTGTCTTTGATTCAAAACTGATATATATTGCAGATATTATGCCTGGGATTGTGGCCCATCTCATTGGTGCATCTCTTCTTGTGTGTTTTGCACCAATATTTTCAAGTAAGTACAGTTATTCAAAGCCACTTTTTGCTAATTTGTAGCTTAACGCTATAGCTATACAACTTATATACATGTATTTATAGTTGTGTACACATTGTTTAACTTGCCAAAGTCAATGGCCTCAAGCTTATTGATGCTTGACTTCCTTAAGTTATATTTTACCATAGACAAAAGAATAAAATATATATATCGAATAAAAACATATTCTTTGTCATCATTTAGAATTAAGATCAAAGAATTGTGCACTGATTGTAATGAAAGTAAACCCAGATTAATTGTAATAAAGGGAATAAAGGGAAGAGAATAAAGGGTTTTATTAATCTGAAAACTGAACTATGAACAATAATGGAATATAAACAAAGCTGAGTATTTACTAATAACATATGACAGTAAACATATTAAATAATCAATCATGTGAGTTAAGTTTAGTTGTATTTATCATTGACTGTAGATTTTATTCACTACATTCTCCCCTCCTAGATAGAGAATAGTCTTTCAGGTATTTTGGAGGATATCTGATTCTTGATGTTCGCCTTAGTGTTGCTTGACCATCACTTAAACTATTCAACTGGTCAGCTTTGGTCTGGTTGGTGTTTGGTTGAGATTGATAGACAGTTGGAAGTGACTGAACATGTGTGTTCAGTTGCTGTTGTTTTGTCTGAGAGATGGTGTCTTCATTTATGGTCAAATGACATTCTTCCCTGATGTCAGCAAGCTCAGGTTCATCTACACTTTGCTCCGTACACTCTTCAGAACGGTTTGTGAGCTCAATGTCTCCCCTTGGAGCCAACTGTCTAAGAGAGACTGTCTTTTCTTCTCCATTTGTTAGTCGTATTGTTGCGTAGTTAGGATTAACGTCAATCAGATCAACTTCGTCAACCAATGGATCATATTTACTTTGTCTAACATTTCTTTTCAATAATACTTTTTGGGATTCAAGAAGCCAAGTTGGTAATGACTGACCGTTGGAGGATTTTCTCGAAAGAATAAACATCCGTTCATGTGGAGTCTGGTTTGTGGCAGTGCATAGAAGCGAACGAATAGCGTGCAGGGAATCATTTAATACAAGTTCCCAATTATGTACTGAAAGATTGCGACTTTTTAGCGAATTTCCCATATAGGGAATAAGCTATTACCATAGTACTCACGGTAAGACCTGGACCCGGGACCGATTTTTTTTTTCGTTTTGAGGTCCCTAGAGGTCAAAAACACCATCCGTTCAAATTCATATATATATATATATATATATATATATTTATATATATATATATATATGTGTCCGTTAGCGCGATAACTCGAGCAAAAATGATCCGATTTTGATGAAATTTGGTACAAACGTGTAAATCTACGTTTATTCGAACGAGTTCGCAAACCAGCATGATCGGACCATGGGAACGGGGGTTTATGGGGGCTGTTATGGGGTAAAAATGGGTTTTTCCCATTTTTGACCCAAAAAACATAAAATTTTGCAATTTCTTTCGAAACTATTTTGTAGAGCTTAAAAAAACAAATAATTTAGTATATTGAAGCGTTATAATGCGCCTAATGGTTACGGAGAAAATTCCAAAAAATTGTAAATTTAAAATTCCCATGTTATTCTTATGGAGAATAAGTAAACTGTTGTAGTTTGCTTGTTTATAAACATATTTTGCCCAAATTTGGAAAATGTTTTTATTTCTTACTAACTATTAACATTTTACATAAAAAACACTTTTACCCTCCCTGTTGCAGCAAACCTAAGTATGTTTTAAACTGATTCTATTTAAATAGGGAATAAATGTGATAATTTTAAGGAGACATTTTAGTGTAAATCCATTCAGGGAAATGGAAATTCGCTTAGTCTGCAGGTTTGCTGCGGCGGGGGTATTAACAATAGTGTAATTGCTTTCCAAATTGTACCATTATACCGCTCGATTTGACCATTTCCTTGTGGGTTATATGGCGTGGTTCGGCTTGTCGCTACACCTTTAGTGTTTAAGAAATCTTTTAGTTCTCTTGACATGAATGATGCGCCTCGATCAGTGTGAATAAAAGAGGGTAGACCGAATAAGCCAAACAAATCACATAGCTTTTCTATCACTGTGTTAGTCGTCATATCCTGGCACGGAAACGCAAATGGAAAGCGTGAAAATTCATCTACTATAGTCAGCAAGTACCTATTTTTAGAATTTGTTGGCAATGGTCCTTTGAAATCTATATTCAACCTTTCGAATGGAGCAGTTGCTTTTATAAGAGTTGTTTCCTGAGGTCTGTAAAAACGAGGTTTTATTTCCGCACAGGTGGGACACAAAGCAGTCATTCTCTTTATTTATTCCAAGGAGTATGGTAAATTCCGACTTCTCACTCAATGTGCCATCCTTGTGATTCCTGGATGACAAAGTTGAGCATGCAGTTGATGCAGCTTGTTTGAATTGGTTGATCCACAGACTCGGGATAAGGTATCAGCAACATTATTTTGTTTTCCCGGCCTGTAAATAATATCATAACTATAGCATGCAAGCTCCAAACGCCATCTAAGTATTTTTTCATTCTTGATTTTGCTTGAGTGGGTGTTATCAAACATGAAGGACACAGATTTTTGGTCCGTAATGAGTTTGAAGTGTCGACCAATAAGGAAATTTCGCCACTTTTTCAGAGCTTCGACTATAGCATAAGCTTCTTTTTCAACAGCAGAGTGTCTTTGTTCACTTGATGATAAGGTTCTTGAGAAAAATGCAACAGGTCGACCGTTCTGGGAAAGGCTTGCTGCAATTGAATGCTCGGATGCATCAGTTTCAACATCAAAGGGGATATCCTCATCAATAGCAGAAATAGCTGATTTGATTATTTCTTGCTTCAGATTTTCAAAGCTTGCGGCAGCCTGAGATGAAACTGGAAACGTTTTAGTTTGTATTAAACAATGTACTTTTTCTGAGTAATGTGGGACCCACTTTGAGTAGTGAGACAGCATACCTATAGTTCTTCTCAGTGAAGCAGTGTCTGTAGGCAGCGGTAGATTCTGTAATGGTTTCAGTCTATCTTGATCGGGCCGGATGGTTTTATTACTTATCTCATATCCCAAGAGGTTTATTGACTTTAGCGAATACCTGCTTTTGTTCTCATTAATAGTAAGGCCATATTTCTTGACAGCTTCAAGAAATTTGTCTAAGTTTGCATCATGGTCACATTGATCATTTCCGCATACTACTGTGATGTCATCGAGATATGCAAAAGTTCCATTTAAATTTTCAGTTCGAATGATATCATCAATTACCCTCTGAAAACAAGCTACTCCATTTGTGACCCCAAATGGAATCCTGGTGAATTGATAAAGTCTACCATCACCTTCAAAAGCTGTATATTGCTTTTCATCCTCTCTAATAGGAATCTGATGGTACGCACTAGATAAATCGATGGTACTGAACACTGAGTATTTTGATACTTTAGAAACTACGCTTTCTATGCTAGGAAGTGGATAAGCATCCAGCAGTGTAAAGCGGTTTATAGTTTGAGAATAGTCTATAACCATTCGTTTCTTATGGTTTTCATTGGTTGTGACTAGAGCTTGAGCCCGCCATGGTGATCTACTTTCTTCAATTATTCCTTCCGACAAAAGTTTTTGAACTTCGCTTCGAATGAAGAGGCTGTCATTCATTGAATGTTTGCGAGATTTAGTCGCTATAGGTCTTATGTTTTCAGTAAGATTGCTGAATAAAGGCGGAGGATCATTTTGAGCATGAGCTAGAGCGCATATGTTTAGTGGTGATTTATGTCCTCCAAAATCCATCTGAATTTGTGAGTGATGTTTTAACAAATCGTGACCTATCACAACGTCAGCACATAGATCCTTCAAAACCGCCACTCTTGCTTTGGTGTATGAATGTTCTAAAAGCCTTACATTTACAATGCAATACCCAACAATTTGAGAGCTAAGTGAAGTGGATGCCATTGAAACTCTACCAGAACTATGGAAAAGTCTAATTTTATGTTTAGAAACAAATGCATCACTTAAAAAAGTTTCTGAACTTCCTGTACCTATTAATGCATCGGCTTGAAGATTATCTACAGTGACTGGTACCACAGCTCGTTTTAAACAAGAAGGTGAAGCTGCTGTTACAGTAGCAACGACATTTGGATCAGTCGTAACGGCGTTAGAAGCTTTATTGTTACTCTTTTTGAGATTAGACCTACAGACTTTTGAATAATGGCCTGTTTTAGAGCAGTTCTTGCAGACTGCATCTTTAGCTGGACATGATGCACGTGGATGTCTACCGTATCCACAGAAGTAGCATTTAGAGGTTGTTGCTGAAAGCTGTGACACATCATTCTCAGAAGCAGAATTTACAGATGAAGTAGCATTTACAACAGGATCGACATTAGAATAGCAGACTGACTGATTATGAGCAGCTTCCAAAGCTAGAGCTTGATTACAAGCTTGTTCCAGAGATAGAGTATTATTTTCTAAAAGCCGTTGTCGTATTGAAGAAGATAAAATTCCACTAAGAAATACATCCCGAATAAAGTTGTTTTTATGTTCTTCAGCAGTGACTGCAGAAAATTTACATTCCTTACTTAGAACTTTTAGGGATAGTAGGTATTCACTGATAGTCTCACCTGATTTTTGCTTACGTGATGCTAACTGGTACCTTGCGAAGATTTCACTCGTTGGTTTTATAAATATACTGTTCAGAATCTTGATGGCTTCATCATAGGTATTACATTCAGTTATGAATTCGAAGATAGGTTGGGAAACATGATTAATTAAAAGGTTCAGTTTGTCCTCTGAAGTTACTCTTTCTTCATTTGTTCCAATTTTGTTTACAAAACTTTCAAATGTTTTTAGGAAATGTTTCCAAAGTTTAGCACTGTTGGGAGAACTTGGATCAGTGTCAAATCTATCTGGTTTTAGAAATCTTTCCATATTTTAAGAGTTAGAGGTAAGGAAAATTAAATTATAAATAATCTAACATTTGAATAATTCAGATTAATAAATTGTAATGAAAGTAAACCCAGATTAATTGTAATCAGAATAAAGGGTTTTATTAATCTGAAAACTGAACTATGAACAATAATGGAATATAAACAAAGCTGAGTATTTACTAATAACATATGACAGTAAACATATTAAATAATCAATCATGTGAGTTAAGTTTAGTTGTATTTATCATTGACTGTAGATTTTATTCACTACACTGATGGTTATAATTGAGCGGAGCGAGCGAAGCGAGCGAAGCTCTTATACGTCGACTTTTATGCATTTCGTAATACGCAAACTCCTCCTAGACGGCTGAATCAATCGTTTTCAAATTTTGAATGGTGATAAAGACCATATCGGTGAGTGCCAACATCTATATAGCGTTAAAAAAGTCTCTCAGGAATCCGTAGAAAAATGAAACTGAAAATCACATTTTTTTAACATTAGTCTTATGGGTTGCTAGGTAACCATGTTGGCTGAATTAAATAACAAGTAAAAAGTAAACAAAAGATTTTAAGTTTTAGCATGTGCTCATAATAAGCCAACTACCCACAGTATACTAGGAAATTACAAATACAGTACAAAAGGAAAAACATCACTTGTTAATATTGAGCAAAGATTATACTTAAGATTACTCGATACATTGTAGCATAGACTAACCAACACAAGTAGACTTCTCATCCCATTGTAAATTTTGAAGCACGTTTTTCGTGTCTAGTTCATGTACGTGACACAAAGGTGCTAGTGTCGACGAAACTTTGTTTCCATTATTTTAGGGTTAATTTCTTGATTTGTGCTTTACTGTTTGGTTATATAACTAGGGGACAAGTTATTGTTTATGATTAGATCGTATTATTTGGTTAAACGAGGTTTTAAATGGCTGTAATAACGGGAAACAAATTGTAAACAAAACACGACCTCTACATAAACCGTACATGAACTAACAATAAAATTGTCTTCAGCTGTTCCATAAGGATGAGAAATCTACTAAGGGAGTATGTTTTATCTATGATTGTAGTCAAGGGTAGCAGCACAGACATTATAATACTTTATTGTCTGTGGTAGCAGTTCGAAGTCTAGGATCTGTTTATGACGAATACATTAAGGTATCTGCAATCCTAAAATGCTATGGGAAGGGAAGGAAACAGGTCCGTGACGTAGGAAGTAGTGAAGAAAGTAGTATAGGCAATCATAAAATGCTATGGGAATAGAGGGAAACAGGTCCGTGACGTAGGAAGTGATGAAGGAAGTAGTAAATGCGAGCAGTCCGGAGTGTGGGGACTGTTTATGACGATAAGATTAGGGTATCTGCAATCCTAAAATGCTATGGGAAGGGAGGAAAACAGGTCCGCGACGTAGGAAGTGGTGAAGGAAGTAGTCAAGGCGAGTAGTCCGGAGTGCGGGAACTGTTTATGACGATTAGAATAAGGTATCTGCAATCTTTAAGTGCAATAGGAAGGGAGGGAAACAGGTCCGCGACGTAGGAAGTGGTGAAGGAAGTAGTCAAGGCGAGCTGTCAGGAGTGAGGGAACTGTTTATGGCGATCAGATAAGGGTATGGGCAATCCTAAAATGCTATGGGAAGGGAGGGAAACAGGTCCGTGACGTAAGAAGTGGTGAAGGAAGTAGTCAAGGCGAGCTGTCTGGAGCGTGGGAACTGTTTATGATGATTAGATTAAGGTATTTGCAATCCTAAAATGCTATGGAAAGGGAGGAAAATAGGTCCGCGACGTAGGAAGTGGTGAAGGAAGTAGTCTAGGCGAGTTGTCCGGAGTGTTGGAAATGTTTATGACAATTAGATTAAGGTATCAGCAAACCTAAAATGCTACGGGAAGGGAGGAAAACAGGTCCGCGACGTAGGAAGTGATGAAGGAAGTAGTCAAGGTGAGCTGTCCGGAGTGTGGGGACTGTTTATGACGATTAGATTAAGGTATTTGCAATTCTAAAATGCTATGGAAAGGGAGGAAAATAGGTCCGCGACGTAGGAAGTGGTGAAGGAAGTAGTCTAGGCGAGTTGTCCGGAGTGTTTGAAATGTTTATGACAATTAGATTATGGTATCAGCAAACCTAAAATGCTACGGGAAGGGAGGAAAACAGGTCCGCAACGTAGGAAGTGATGAAGGAAGTAGTCAAGGTGAGCTGTCCGGAGTGTGGGAACTGTTTATGACGATTAGATTAAGGTATTTGCAATCCTAATGCTATGGGAAGGGAGGAAAACAGGTCCGCGACGTAGGAAGTGGTGAAGGAAGTAGTCAAGGCGAGTAGTCCGTAGTGTGGGAACTGTTTATGACAATTAGATTAAGGTATCTGCAATCTTTAAATGCAATGGAATGGAGGGAAACAGATCCATGACGTAGGAAATTGTGTAGGATGTAGATGTGTGGATTTATGCATCTCCAATACTACGGTGCTTTCAGAGTGAACTAATGATTTTCCCCGAGCAAAGCTCGGTCCCCAGGTACTATAATCAAATGACGACACTAGCTTGAGGTTCGTGACGTATGAAGAGGTTAAGGAAGTAGTAAAGGTGAACAGTCTGGAGTATGGAAACTGTTTATGACGATTAGATTAAGGTCACAACGTTCCTAAAATGCTACGGAAAGGGAGGGAAACAGGTCCGCGATGTGGGAAGTGGCGAAGGAAGTAGTAAAGGCGAGCTGTTCGGAGTGTGGGATCTGTTTATGACGATTAGATTCAGGTATCTGCAATCTTAAAATGCTATGGGAAGAGAGGGAAACAGATCCGCGACGTAGAAACAGGTGAAAGAAGTAGTAAGGTGAGCAGTGTGGAGTGTGGGAACTGGAAACCGTTTGTAGCAGTTTTAATGTATCTGCAATGCTGAAATGCTATGAGAAGGGATGGAAGCATGCCCAAGACATAGGAAATTGTGAAAGAAGTAGTAAAGTCTAGCAGTACGGACAGTGGGGATGTTTGTTGCAATTAGATTAACGTATCTAAAATACTAAAATGCTATGGAAAGCGATGAATACAGGTCCACGACGTAAGTGGTGAAGGAAGTAGTAAAAGCTGGCAGTGCAGAGTGGGGGAACCGTTTGAGCAGATGGATAAATGAATTTGTAATACTTAAATGCTATGAGAAAGGAAGGAAACAGGCCAATGACGTAGTAAATGGTGAAGGAAGTAGTAAGGCTAACAGCGCTGAGTGTGGGAACTGTCTTTGGCAATTAAATTAATGTATCTGCAATCCTAAAATGCTATGGGAAGAGAGGGAAACAGGTCCACGACGTAGGGTGTGGTGAAGGAAGTAGTAAAGGTGAGCAGTGTTGAGTTTGGGAATGGATTAATGTATCTGCAATGCTAAAATGCTACGGGAAGAGACTGTAGACTGTAATATGTTAAAATGATTACGAAGCACAAATCGATACATATTTTCGATACATGCAATCGTTTACAATCAAAATTTACAACTGAGTTGACAACAGCTGATTTTTACTCCATAGAGGCTAAAAACGATTTTTACTCCCTAAATATTAAAAATGCTACTTTAGACCCGCAGCGCATGCATGAAAAAATACTGTTTTACTGCAGTAAGACAAAAACAATATAATATGAACCCTTGATGACTCCGCTCAATTTTGTGGATGCCTCTGCGAACGCCACCTAGTTATTGTTATTCATATTGTCTTGTTTCTATTTTGTTATTGGTCTATTTATTTGTTGTTAGTTAAATATTGTTATTGACAAAAGTTGTTCTGAGAAGCAGTATTTGTACTAAGAAACGCTTGATAAATAAAGGCATTTTTATTTATTTATTTATTATCAACAGCTTTGCTGCGGTTAGCATAGGTTCTGGCATTCATCGCTGGGAGCGCCACAGCACTCCCAGCGGTGGAAGCCAGAACCTATGCTAACCGCAGCACGGCTGTCAGTCTATATTTAATTCTTTTTGTCTATGATTATACATTTGCACTGTTTAAAATTAAAATGTTTTAAATTGAAATTGGTTATGTGTAGCATTGGTTATGTATTGCAGGGTAGCTATCTTCACATAATCAATTTCTATTGGAATCTTAGTCAAATTGTGTACTTTATTTCTCATTCTATTTTAAATACATCACAAATCTATTTTTATTACTCGCAATATTCTTGACTGCTATAAACACAGCCCTTGTGCAGATTCAGAAACTAAATAATACATACTGCATGTGAAAATGGTGTGTAAATATTAACATTTTGTTGTTATTAAATTACAGTACTGTGTTTTAATAATCCAATTCGCCTTCATTCAACTTTTCAACTATCAGAGAGGGGGACGTCTGGGCACTTCTGCCCTGTAAGCGTTGAATCACCCACCGAGGGTGTCTGCGTGCAGGGTGCAGCTGGAGGGATCTGACTGGAAGCCAATAGATGTGATGTGTTTTGACCCCATTTAACTAGCAGGGTAGCAATAGTTTTTGTTTTTTTTTTTGTTTTGCATGTCTAGGCCAGTGAAACAAAATTTTATGGGGACAAAAAGATGTTGTCTGCGCACAGCATCTGCCGACAGACGGACGCCCGGTGTGGTGTATGTTGGCCATTATACTTTCAGCTTCTTATGCTCAATTGCTAAGCGTGCATGCTAATATGTAAGCATAATTAGTCCACCGATTTTTGTTTTCAGATGCAGATTCTGACACGCCTGTGATAAAATGTTACCAATGCCATTCCAAGTACGATGACCATTGTAAACATATCTCAGTAAATAGCAGTGTTTATTTCAAGCCCTGTGAGGACATAGGGAAGTATGCTGGGCAAAAACCATTCTGCAGGAAGATTGCTCAAAAAAGTAAGTATAGATAGAAGCACCTAGAAGTACTAAATGATTTTTATAGCATAGTTTAAATTTAAATGATTTTTGGAAAATAACAGGCTGTTATTTTACTCTCAGGTTTTATGTTGCTATAGATCAAGTTATCAACCTCCGTCCAGGGATGTAAATCTAAATTATCAACTTTTGTTTTGTATAGTTTCAGTTTCTAAACACAAACCATTGTAAAATTTTATATTTTTCCAATCCTAAAGTCCAATAATTCAATGAGCTGTCTTATGGAGACCCAATAGTTTTTTCTTCTTTGGCTCTAGTAGAAGATAGCGTACTCACTTTAGGTTTTATTTAAACCCTTTCAACCCATGAAGGCAATGATAATGGATATATTGTTGGTTGCTCTTCTGACAAAGTAAACGCTATCCTCATTTTAAATTCCACTAAGTAACAAAAAAGTAATTTAAAAGTTTGTATGAAACAGAAAACAAACAGCATTTGACAGCACTTCTGAAAATAGTTTAATGAATTAACAGGAGTTTAAAAAAAATTTTACTGGCTTAGACTTGAACTGGATATAGGAGTATGACCACCAGAGTTAGACCATCTATATGATCCTCTGTAAAATTTTTTTTGTAAAATAAAAACTAGGCTTACCATTACCATCTGTCCTCGTTACTTTTATCCATTTTCTCTCTTTTTTTTGAAACTATAATGGTTATGTGACATCGAAGATCGAAGGAAGACAATATTGTTTCCAATTGATTGCCCCTTTAATTGGATGTGATTGACAAGTTTGTATGGACCAGAAAATGACATATTTTACCACAGCTCACTTTATCAATGGCTCAATCCAACTAACATTTTAAAAATAAAACCTATTTGCTGTTAGATCTGTGTCAAATAATGTTTTCTTTCTTAACACCAGCTTGTAAGTTCAGTTGAAAGAAATTGGCGATTTCAAGTACCATCTATGAATACAAAACAGGTTAAAGCTAAAATGGGGTATCTGCTTCAAGCTGTAACCATAGTCGTAATTATAGACACTATCCTACTATTTCTATTAGCAAACAAAATTTGTTTGACAAACTCAAATAAAGATTATGAATTATTATCTTACTAGTGTACCTGTCGCTCGAATTCGAGCAATTGCTAAGAATTACAGGCGTTATTTTAAAACGACTAACAGTCATAACTTCTGATGACTTTAAAAGCGATTATAAATTCTAAAAAAAAACATTATTTCTATTTCTTCTCTTTGGTTGTGTTCTATGACTTTCCTATATTTCCATAGTTTGCAAATCGTGTCTTTCAATGATTTATTAAGAAATGCAGCACAGTGTTAATTAATTCAGTTTTCTTATTAGTATATCAATTTATCCAGGCTCTCTCGTTTTTTCCATTGTAATATTTGCGCCAACCCAAATTAAAATGGTAAATATCTCAATTCATCCAAGTTAGTAAATGTTTGTAGCAAACTTATTGACTGTTTACAATTAACATGTTTTCTTCTTCTCACTTTTAATTTCTGTCAACAGCTGGAGTTTCATAACAATTTTTGTTTCCCATGTTAATCTTATGGAGAAATACGAAACTTTAAAGGGCCCCAGTGCCTAACTCTCTAATTATTTCCATAAAAAGAAAGTTTCCTGCACAACTTCACGTCACGCTCTTTCCAATGACACCAAAAACATGTCAATCGGTTCAGTAGTTTCGGAGGAGTAATTGTCACAAAAAACCTGCTTGCCTACCTATTAAATAAGTATAGATTTCCAACCAGTAAATTTCAGTGTGAAAACCACCATGTTGAGCACTATCCAATTTCGATGTTAAAAATTTATTAGTTTTGAAATATTTAGATACCATCATATTTTAGTCTGGTAAATATAAAATATTCAAAGTTGAGAAAATGTAGTTCTTGGTGCCCAGGTTTGATCACACACTGTGACTGGTTCAATTCCTTTACTGTCTCTGTCAATAACAATAAAAAAGGTGAAACTGGACCTGATAGAATTTAAATGAGGAATTCCAAAACGTTCCATATACATTTGTATAATCTTTCATAAAAAAAACTCTACTGTACTGATAAAATTGTTTTTTTAACCTGTCGTCAATCAGTCCTATATTGTTGTGGATGACTATAGTTTCGGGGTTAAACCCCCATTTTCAAATCTACTCTTCAGTTGTCATATGTCAAACATATTCTCTTGCACAAGCCGTTACTTCACGCATACACATAATCACAACAAAAACATTTATAATTGCAAATCATGTACATGCGTGAATGTTGTTTTTTATGCCTTTCCTTATGGGAATAATATGAGGTTTGATCAATCTTGGACATTTTTTCAAATGCTGTCAGACTTAGCACTTACTTTTCTTTCACAGAGATGAGATTTCTTCTTTACAGAAGTTTATATTGTTAATACTTTTTTCCTTGGCCACGCTAGGCACGAACCCTGGATTCCTTTTCACATTATTTCAGCCTAGACCTAGGGGTTGCGGTATTATCACTTAGAATTATCCATTGGTGATTTGGTGGGATTTGAACCCGACACCTCTGGACCGAAGCCCCGAGCTCTGCCACTAGACCAGCTCGCTCCCCTTGACTGTTAATACTAGCAATATATTGTTGTTGATTTGCCTCCTTCACGCTTTTCTGTTCCACAGTCCACGGATGGGAAAGCAAAGAAGTGATGGTGCGCAAGTGTGGTTGGGTGAAACACAACGAGGAATGTTACCGAGTGCGTAACTGGGATCATTCCGAGACTGTGTGTCAGTGCTTCACGGACGGTTGCAACTTCGGCAAAGCACTTCATGGCTCTTTATTTTTACTTCTGCTACCACTATTGATACACGTGTGCATGGCTTAACTGTGCAATTTCATCATCTTTCTGTCCAGGGGCCCATTTCATAATAAACTACAAGTTACAAGTTACAACTTGTAACTTGTTATTTCCATTAGATTTGCATTGGGCAATCAGCTGATTTACTAATAATATTAGTTTGTACTTTATTATGAAATGGGCCCCAGGACTATATAATGCTACACATGAACTCTAGAAAAATAAATACTCTTATTCAAACTTGAAGGACCATGACAATGTAAAGACAAGCTAAAAGGATAGCATTTGAACAATTATTGTATATATAGGTAGTATAGTTTAAATTAACGCTTGGCCAGTCAAATGGACCAAAGGCGTAAGGAGTGTTTTTTGAACTACAGCTGACTCTTACAACCACTCACACTTCCTGTCTTTCTTTGTGTATCAGACATTGTAAGCTTCTTTCCAGCTGCTGAGAATTATGTTAGTTTCACAGCTGTTCAAAATTTGTACAATAGGAGACGTAAAATAAATAAATTTTGCATTAAACCTTGTGCTTTTTATGGAATTCTTTCCAGTAATCGTGTTTTTATCTTGAACAGTATATACCAGCTACTGAGTAAAATACTGCCAGGACAGCTGGTCATATGAGATTCAAGAGATCCTAAAAAATAAAAAATAAATTCAAATAATTATTAATTTCGTTTTTTACCTAAAGTAAGTTAATCTTTTTGATTCTTCACTATGCCAAACCATAGACAAAGAGAATTAAATATAGACTGTCAGCTGTGCTGCGGTTACCAGGTTCTGGTGCACACCGCTGGGAGCACCATGTTGTTACGGCATACGCTCTACGTAACTACACGGCGCTCCCAGCGGTGTGCCCCAGAACTTGGTAACCGCAGCACAGCTGACAGTCTTTATTTAATTCTTATTGTCTATGGCCAAACTCTCCTCTGTCTGATGAACCTGGGAATGGCTAGAACAGTCATCGGATTTTATTGTATAATCAGACAGCTGAAACAAATTGATACCTTTTATTGCTCATTATTTTATTAAACACCATTGATATACAGGGTGTCCCGGAACTCACTACCAATATTTTAGGGCATTGCTCCTGGGTAAGAAACATACCTAAATATCATATTTAAATTGTCCGGAAGTCCTTAGTTACTCACACAGCCACCATTTTGTTTTTTTTCAGTTATTAATTGTTTTCTAAAGAATAGTTAAACATACGATTTTTTAAATTCATAAAACAAGATGGCGGCCATTTAAAATTTTTGTAAAATGAACAGTTTTTGAGTTATTTAAGAAACAAAAATTTTAAATGGCTGCCATCTTGTGTTATGAATTTGAAAAATCGTCATAATTTTTTTGTAGCTTTGTCTAGTTGTCATAAATGTTTGTGCAAAGTTTCCATTTTGTATGTTTAACCATTCTTTAGAAAAAAATTAATAACTGAAAAAACAAAATGGCGGCTGTGTGAGTAACTTCCGGACAATTTAAATATGATATTTAGGTATGTTTCTTACCCAGGAGCAATGCCCTAAAATATTGGTAGAGAGTTCCGGGACACCCTGTATATAAATACAGGGCTTGAGTTATTAATTTTAATGTTTAAACAACGACCCCTCTATTATAATCTCCGTCATTCCCCTGATTCCTCTCTCCACAGAGAAGTTTGTGCCTAGCATAGCATGAGTGGTTATAGAGCTCGCCTGGTAATCGAAAGGTCGCCGGTTCGATCCTGAGAAAGGTTAGTAGCTTTTGATGGTTTGGAACTGGCGACCCAGCTGTTCTTCATCATTGGGCTTTAAATAGTCCTGACTAATGAAACAGCTGGTCTAAGTAACAAAGCTACAAGGCATCTCACTTAATCCTACCTTTGACTATTCCACAATTCGACGAGTTTGCCATAATTTTAATAAAATTGTCTTAGTTGATGTGAGCCACTGACAGATTGCGCTGATCTAATTTACTAATTTGCAAAAAAATTTAAAAATAATTGAACACTCAGATTATGACTCTGAGATGTTATATAAATATATTGAGATTTGTATTTGGTTTGGATATGCAAACATCTTTTGGGGTCCTAAAATAAACACATAAAGTGACTTTTTTTATACGACATATTGGATATTGTTTGGATACCTTATTATTTTATGATTGTAAATTCATGAGCAAATAAACAGGTGA